ATTGGACAAACCCTGGTAAATGGACTGGAGGGAGAAATTCTGCTGCTGCAGGGAGATGGTCTGTATGACATAATAGAATTTAGAGATGGAAAATACCCATGATTTTGACTTTTAGCTTTATGGTATCACAGCTGACAAACTATTAAAGAAGTGAGATGAAAGCATCAAGGTTACCAGAGAAACCATTGTAATGCATCTCTCTAGTACACAAGTGGCAGATGGTCATTTAGCTCAGAGCTGCTGGTTTAGAGGAACCAAATTTCCACTCACAAATATTTCCTATGTGGTTCTACTGGCATTTTCACCATTTTAAGTTTTTGCCTATATGTTTAAGTAGGTTTAGAGGTTACAAAACATGACATGGTTTCAGCACTTGAGAAAAATGATACACCATTTCCTGTGCCAGAGCCAAAATGCTCCATTCTCCTTTGGCTTTAGTGGCAGATATTCTCTGAATGTATACTTTCCTATGTGAGAGCAATCCACTGATAGAAGATAGAAGAGAAGCTCTGGAAATTTTTGTTCCTGTCTCAGACATGTGCTTACAAACATGATGAGGCAATTCATTATGCAGCTGTAAGGCTCTCAAGCAAAAGAGCATTGCTTTAACCTTTTTAGAGGCATGTGCTTTCCTGAAGGGCATGATCTCCCTGCTGTCTTCTTGAAGATCAGACTGCCTCAATTTATTTGTATTTACTTATCTGTCCTGGTTTCAGCCAGCATAGAGCTGGTTTTCTTCACAGAAGCTAGTGTGAGACTATGTTTTGGATTTGGGATGAGAAACTGTTGATAATGTGCTGATGTTTTGGGTTGTTGCTGAGCAGTCAAGGACAGTCCAGCTTCTTGTGCTGGCCTGCTAGCAAGAAGGCTGGGGGTACACGGGAAACTGGGAGGGGGCACGGCCAGGACAGCTGACCAAGGCTGGCCAAAGAGATATTCCCTACCATATGACATCATGCCCAGTACATAAACTGGAGTTGGCCGGGGGGGCGGAAATCGCTGCTCGGGGACGGGCTAATCCTGTTTTCCTATGAGCAAATGCAGTTCCTGCAGTTTGGAGTGGGCCCAAGTGCTATCTTAAACAGTTCAGTGATGTGGGCCTTGATGTATGAACACAATGCAGTTGAACAGACAGTAAAATTTCATCATGTTGGCAAGCCTAGTTAATGCAAACAAACCTGGGTTTGATTTACAGGGGCAGGATGCATTAGACATTAAGATTATTCCTGCCTGATAAAACAGTTTCTGCATATATATCCTTCCCACCATCATCCCTCTCCCCTTCCCCAGCCCCAACCCACCAATGGATGTCGG